TAACTCAATAGTAAAGGCCCACTGATACTTAAAATCAGTTTTTTGAGAAATCACAAGACAGAGAAAATCTGGAGACAGGTAGAGGACAAGAGGAGAGAAAGAGCACATCGTGATGTTGTATTAACACCTGCCATTTGCATGTATCAGTGTTACTTAATTTCCCATAATAATAATAGAAATACCTTTCCACATTTTACAAGAAGGGAAACCAAAGCTCAAAAATGTTAAGTAACTAAGGTCATTCAAGGAATTGAAATCCAGGTTTCTGATTATTTTTATTACACGAGATGTTTCAGACTTTATGAAGAAATCAGAACTTGAGAAGGAAGAAGATGTGAACCAGCAGACAGCAATCATGAGGATAATTCTAGCCAGTGAAAAAGGATGAGCAAAGAATTGCACATGTAAAAAGGCCAGTGCTGTTCTAAGGGAATAATGAATAAACCACCGTCACTGAAACAGTGGTCTCTGTCTAATTCTGGCCGCAAAGTAAAAACATTCACTGTTATTTGCATAGAGTTTTAATATTTACACAAGAATTTCACAAATAGTATCTTGTTTGAGGCTCATGAAAACCCTGTGAGTTAAATAGGAAAGATAATTTCATTTCCTCTGTTACATACATGAGTGAAACCTGAGGCGGAGAGTGAACCATGGACCTTAGATCTTAAAGTTAGTAATGGGCCAGGACAAAAATTGAATCTAAGGAAGTCCTTTGGCTCTGAAGTCTACACATTTTTCAAGTTACTTTTTGAAATATGCCTGTATTTTCAGAATTCAAACAGAGATGTGAACCTCAGTCAAGGAAATCACAGAGATAATTCGGTCTTTGAGTAAGTGGTTGAGCCATTTGATGTTGGGGCCACTCCAAGATTTTGTGATTCTGCTGCTGTTACGTACACTTCACTGTTACCAAAATCAGTTTCTCACTATCTCAGGAAGATGGCTCACGCTTTCAAAACCACTCAAAAACTTAGCTTGTAATTTTTTCTTTTCTTGTGTATCTTCTACACCAAGTACCATGCCTACCACCTAAAAGCAGTATTGTAAATACTAATGATGTTGGTATCTAACCAAAGACATTGGATGTAATTACTATCATTACTACCACTTTGTGTTTGAAGTTTACAGATATCAATGCCTTTCTCTGACCTGGACCTGGTGATTGGTAGACCTTTTAGGATGCAGCCTTGAATGAAAATCTAACTGACTCCAAACCTCAGCTTTGTTTCTCAATGGAATTGGTATAAAAATACATGAGCCAATGCTAGATGATGGACTCATGCATGAGACCTTGAAGACTAAATTTATCCTACAGCCAGCTCGAGAAATCACCAAATGTCTCTTCAGTCTGCAGTTGACTGTTGCTACCATCAGTTTTTGCTGTCAGATCGAGCTCTTGAATTCATGTGTCTATAGCGAGAGAGATGCTACTTAGCCACTCCAGTGGTCTACTGTTGCTGGTCCAAGTCCCAGACCCTATTTCTGCAAGGCAAAATAAATCTACTGCCTCAGATGGAGTCAAGTTAGCCCTTTTTTTCTGGAATAATGGGTTAGTAAAACTCAGTGCTTAGCTCTGTTAAACCCAATCAGAGCCACCCACACATACTAGCTGTCTGAGGAGTGGTTCTGGCATCTGCCATTTACAAACCTAAAGTCTTTCTATGTTTTCTTTTCAGGGACCAATAACACCATGATTTATTCTGGGTTTTTTCCCTTTTATTGTTCAGGGTTTTAAAAAATCTTACTTATATCCATCTTCTCTGTGAATGGTGGTAGGGTGGTAGCCAATCACCCAAGCCTCAGCTATGCTGGTTTTATTAAACCTCTACATTTCTCTCTGTTCCATCCCCTCCCTAATTCCTTCTTGGAGAGTTACCTTTGGTGGCTTAAGGGTAATGTCAGGGAATTAAACTCTGGCTTAGCAACCTGCTCATTGGGCTTCAGTGTGGGGAAAAAACAAAATGATGGCGTAGGGATTGAGGGATGAAGCAAATAGACAGTCTTTTCTGGGGCATATACCTCAGTTCTCCCACAAAGATGTTTCTTACACTCTCTCCGTTAGTTTATTTCCAGGAAGCTGGGGAAATGGGCAGTCTTCCAGGCAGGTGTACTAGAATTTTTGTCCAAGATTGGATTCTCCAGAAAATTAACTCCTATGTATTTAAATAGAGTATTGCTACATAGGTATCACCTTCCCAGCAATATTCAAATGTGATGCAAATAGGCCAGCATTTTGAATGAATTTCAGACCATTTCTTCATGGAGATTCTTTGAAACTTGTACACCACATGAGCTCATTAAAAAGAAACATGTTGAAAGACATATTGTAAGCTTTTCAAAAGTAGAGACCAAGTCATATTCATCACTGTATCAACAATGCATGACCCAGGTCCTAGTACATAGCTTACCTATAACGAATGATTGTCAAATAAACATTGTTTAACACATAGATATTCAATACAAAGGAAGAGAGATATTTATTTTATTCTGAACTATATACTTAGTTCTGGAGCATTTTAAAGGACACATTGATCCAGTTCTAAATGCAACCTCATTGTTTGCAATGCAAATTTATACCTTCACGTCTAAGCACACATTATCTGAAATATAAACAAATTTACACAAAGGGTCTCTATTTTTAAATAGATGCTCAAGTTCAAGAATCTCTAAAATATGCCAGTTAACAGAAAAGTTTAAATTGCAAAGCAACTTGGATTAATTTGAAATTCAGCTATAATTAAGTATATGAGATTTGGGTTATGAATATTGGTTACATCAAATGACCTCTATATGGGCCCAAATAATTATATTATTTATAGGACCTTAGTCCTTCTGAGATTTATAGACTTTTCAGGCAACACTGATATAGCAGAGAAAAATATTCTTTGTAAAGTAATATTAAAAATACCATCTGGTTATTACATATTAAAATACACTTTGATAGCCCAAGTAATAATTGCAGGGTGATCTTGAGAAGATATGATTTCTGTATCTCAGATTTGTATCCTGTGAAACAAAGATAGAGTGTAACCATAGGGTATTTCTAAGTGTACATCCTGTTACATGCTTAGGTACATGACTGACACAAAGTAAATTATTATTATTATTTTATATACAAAAATATTATTTTATATATAAAATATTCTGCTTTTATATTCAGGATTTCCAGATTTCAAATAACATTAATTTCTGGAACTCTGTATTGGTCCATTATAGTAATAAATTTTCTACTACTTTTCTTTTCCCCTACCTCTCCAATATTCAAGAAGAATTTCATTAACCACTAGTCAAGGTTATTACATTTATTTGCAGGAGGCATATGCCAATGCTTCTACCTCCAGAGGAAAAGGAAAGAAACTGAAGATGGTGAGAAGAGTCACCTGGTGCTACTTGGAACAAAATGTTAAGAATTAACACAACTTTGCAGGCTGATTGAGGTTTCTAAGCCCACTAAATTTCAGAATTACTTGCAAAAATAATCTGGTTTATTTCCAATTCTTTTAAAATATGTAAATTTTTAAGTCCTTCTGTGCTTTCTTGTATCACAATGTTATCCAATTGCCCTCAAATAGTCCTTCTATAGTGTTTGCTATAGAGGACAAACCAATGTGGAAATAATCTATGGGGAGACAGCTTTTTGGCAAACATTCTTTCTCTTGACCTTGAGCAAATTTTTTCTCCAAGTATAACCCTGAAGATCGTCATCTTCCAGTCATTAGGAAAGATTAAAGAGGTAATGTCTTACAAATTCCTTGAGTGACATAAACAATGCTCCATAAAAAGTAAACCACTACTGAATATTCTTTAGCACTTAAATATTCTACTCCCCTCCTTATCTGAATGTGTGGCGTGAGGGTGAGAAGAAAATAGAAATATTGAGGGAAGAGAAGTGATAACAGTGGTGAGAATTCAGTGTTTTCCCATTTAGCTTGGACAGCAATGTTCTGTAGCAAGCACAGAAATAAATAGCAGATATCACAAGAAATAATGGAGGGCGTTTGCTTTGGAAAACCCTGCAATTTATTTTGAGAAATGAAGAAAGAAATGGTGGTGTAGCATACAAAATCCTAACTTATTTCCTGATAGGGTAAGTAAAGGAAATACTAATTGTGAACATTTTCACAGTATGTCAAACCACCAAATCTTTTAAAATGCCATCCCACGAAGTATGACCCAGTAGCAAGCATGAATATGATGTTGGTACATCTGCTAATAAAATAAATTCATATAAATCACGATAGTCTAAAGGGAGAATTATAAATGGCAAAACTTACTGGGAAAAAAAAAACGTATACTGAATATAAGAATTTCCAAATGATTGCCTTCAAATTACTAGTCTTAACTGAAAACATTCGTACTCTATGTTCTTCTTTCCTTCCTTCCTTCCTTCCTTCCTTCCTTCCTTCCTTCCTTCCTTCCTTCCTTTCCTTCTTTCCTTCCTTCTTTTGTTCATTCTTCCTTTCTTTCATTCTTTTGTTGTTGCTGTAAAACCAATGTGCCATTTTAAGCCACAATGGCTTCCTTTTGAACCACAGCAAATGTTGTCGTGCACGTACGGATATTGTGATACTGTATATGTGTTATCTGCTATATCGCAATTTAATTACACAATTTAGCAACTCTTTTCATTCTTTGGCTTCTTACTCTTATTTTAAGTATATGAATGAAAAATACTGCAAGCCATAACAGTAAACAAAGGATGCTGAAGCCATCAGGTCATCAGCCACTGCCACCACCCCCAACAGTGAGCTCAGGGCACAGACAAGCAGGCAGCCTGGCCTCTGCAGCCACCCCCAGTGGTGCCCCCTGAGGGGACCCAGAATGTGAAAGGATAGGATACTGGCCCTAGATAGCTAGGTGATTGTCAAAGGGATGATTTCAATGAGCCCAGACGTTTGCTCCTTCCCATCCACAGAAAAGCATAAATTCGTTAACTTGAGATGTCTGGTTTTCTTTAATAGTAATCTTTAATGTTCTGACTTCCTGGGGAGTTTGGTGTACAGCTCCTATATATCCTGGCTCCTCCCCGACCTCTTCAGAGCAGCCCCTCAGAGCCATCTGGGAGGCTGTCATCCTGGGCTCAAAGGGGTTTAAGTCCTCAGAAATGTCCAACTCTCAGCTTTTAGGTTGTGCATTTATTTCAGTCAACAAGTATTATTTTATATAAATATAATATATAGAAATGTACTGATGTGGATTGACAGAGAAAGAAGACATTAGACTTTAATTTACCAATAATTTTTTCTCATATAAAATACTATATATATATACACAATAATTTATGACTTAGTAAATACTTATTAGAAAAGGCTATTCTTAGTATTTATTACCAGATACCCCTAGGAACTATTACCAGAGAGTGGGTTCTTATCTCCTCACAGAAAGAACTGAGATGAGACGTGGAGATCAAAAACATAAAATGAGACTTTATTAAGTAATAGGATGCTCTCAACGGGGGAACAGGCAGCCTCAGGTGAGTGCTGCTCTGAGTTTCTTTGGCAAGCTAGTTACATAAGGCGTAAATAATAAATCATTGCAGGGAGGAGTTGCAGTCATATTCCCTGATTTTCATCCTATCTCCACCTTCCTGAGGGGAGGAGGGGTTTTTGTCCTTATTTAGTCTTGATCAGAAGTGTCATGGCCTCAGTATGTTAATAGGTACTTCTTATCTGCAAGGCTAATTTTATTGTAATGAGGGCATAGTTAGCAAAAGGTTACATTCCTGCCTTTTCCCACTTTTCTTTGTCTGCCTCCAGGACAGGACACTTGTCACCCCAAAGTGTGTGAGTTCCTATCAGTCCAGAGGTTCCAGCTTTTCTCTGTCTGCCAAAGGACCGCCATTGTTCACAAGGATTAAGGCTTCTTGCCATTTCTCTGCTCATAGCTAGCTATCTGCCTGGTCCAACATACCCATACAGTGAGTGGAGTGACTTCGAATTCAAAGTGACTCTTTCCAAATCAGCAGTTTTAGAGGGAATAAGTCAACTGCAATTGGTGACAATGGGAAACCCGGGATTCACAGACGTACAACCATAATCCACTCTTCAACAGGTTTACAGAGGCAAAATGCCAAGTCACGCTCTTACTTCCAGAGAAACCTCTTCACACGTTATAGTGTAACTTTGTAGTTCCATTTCTCTTTCAGGACTTCAACGATACTCATTTAACATAATTTTACCTGAAAATAAATAGTATCTATATATAAATTTGGAAGTGAAGGAGTTTTATACATGTGTGTGATTTGCCTTAAGTCTTGCTAGAAACTGAAAATTTGTATCTCCCAAAATTCATATGTTGAGACCTAGTCCAGAGTGTGATGCTATCTGGAGGTGGGGTCTTTGGGAGGCGATTAGATTGTGCGGGTGGAGCCCTCGTGAATGAGGTTAGTGCCCTTATAATGAGACCTCAGAGAGATCCCTCCCCCTTTCTGCCATGTGGAAAGACAGTGAAAAGACATCCATGAGTCAGGAGGCAGGCCCTCACCAGCCAGACTCTGACAGCTCTGTAATCTCAGAATTGCCTGCCTCCAGTACTGTGAGAAACAGATGTTTGTTGTTTATAAACTGCACAGTTTATGACTTTTTTGTTCTAGCATCCCAAACAAAGACAGGTTCTCAAAGGTGGCTAAGTAGGCCTCTCTCAGTGGTGCCTGCTGAGAACACAGCGAGGGGAAAGTGTTGTCAAGTACCGCTAACATCTGAATACGCTGGAAACTGGGACACCCTAAGCTATTTAATTCTCTTGTTTTGGTAAATTATTCATGTTTCTCATTTTTCCACCTTTTTAGGAGGTATTTATAATATGCACAGGTATGTCTGTGGGACATCTGTATCCTGAGATATAAATATAGATTTCCTATCCACATACGTGTATGTATATAAAACATATACACACATATATACATGCTTACATTAATGGGATACCTATTAGTTTAATTCTAGATGAGAATTTAAAAAGACGTCTCAAAAGAACACTGTAAAATATTCAAAAATCAGGGTTAGAACTGTTTATGAAAACATAAATGTAAAGCAAATATATCAATATATCAATAAGTATCAATATATCAATAAAATTTTGCACTCAAACTTCAGCTCATAGATTTACTATGGCAATAGGTTTTCAGTGACTGACTACATTTTAAAGCATCTGTGTTGTGCTCTTTAAAATGTATTATGTTTAATGTTATAAAACATATATTTTCAAATATAAGCCACATCCCTGTAATCTATGAAGGTTTCATATAGTTGAAGAAAAGACAGTCCAAGTAGCAACCTTTGAATTTGATCTGCTAATAGAAGAATCTCTTTTTAGCTTTCTTTATATTTTCAATTAGAACTCTTTTTACTTTAAAAATTCTTCATATTTAAAATTTATTTATAAAAACTAATGATTTCTTGAATATGTGTGAGCACATGTGACTGTCATGATCGCATTACTGCATTCTGCTGATTCTTACTCTGTATTTGGCTTTATTCCTTTGATAACTAGGTAAGTTTAAAAAGCTAAAGCTCTAACCTGTTCTTAGAAATAATGATCAGTACACATATGTAAACTAAAAAATGTGCAGTATACTGTATATATTCATTTAGATGCAATAGAATGTGTATGTGCAGTCAAACTGTAATAATTCCAGCTAATAAAACTGAAAAAGGGAAAAAGATAGAGGCACAAAATGATCCGAGGGTGGAAGTTTCAGCCCTCTGACACTGAGAGGTCACTGAGTGGACATTCAGGCAGGTCCATTTGGAAGATCTGTGGTCCGATCCAGTCGTCACTGGCTCAGTTCTAACTAGACACAGCTGACTCCCAGTTCCTGGAAAACAACTCCGGGAAACATCTGACTGTTTAGGCCACGTGCTGCTTGGAGAACAAGGGAGGTTTTGTTCTTGCTGTTGGTTTTGTTTTGCTCTTTTATGGGTGCTTGGAGTTTATCTTCTACTTGGTGCAAGGTAAGGCGCAGGGTTATGGGGTGTCAGGAAGGCTCTCGTGTAGCTTGAGTAGTAAAGAATGGGGTTCTCTCAACTTCCCTTTTGGTGTTTTGCTGTTCTGATATTAAAGAATCAATTGTGTCCTCTGAAAAACTTAAAAACCTAGTGATGTAATTCTAAACACTAATAATGTTATTTTTAAAGTGATTATTTTAAAACATAATTGTGATAAACTACAGTGTGTAGATTATTTAAAAATCTATCAGATTGGAGAGCTAACAAAAGAAAACCTCAAAAAAAAATCATGAAATTTTGAAGAAGTAAGAAACCCTACATAACTTAGGAATATAATTTTGCTCAGTTCTGTTGTGAACATGAAACTGCTCTAAAAGAATAAAGTCTATTAAAAAATAAATAAAAAATAATTTAGGAAAATAATATTATGTCAACAACACATATAGAATAGACCATAATTTCTGGAATCTCTTATTTTCCTTCCTAGAACAGACATAGTGTTTGTCAAGGTACTGACATAATTAATTAATTAGGTGATAGCAAATATTAAAAAGCCTGAAGTTATTTAAAATTCAAGTAGCATATTATTCTGAATATAATGCAATAGTTGGCTTAATTTGAAACATTTCAGTTTTTGCAGAAGCCTCTAGCATTTGCAGACAGAATTTTATCTTCTTCGGATCTTTTCTTTGATTCCTTTGTTCATTTGCAGATACGGGCTGATTTAATTTCTCTTTATTACTGAGATTCGTCTGCATCTGTCATTATGTTATTCAAAACAGTGTATGATGTGTTGGAAAATACAAAAATTGAAAATGTGAAAAAAACATAAAATATTGATAGTGGCTGTATAAATTTGGAGAGGGAAAAACTGAGATTTAGACCCTGCTTTATAGAGCAGCTTTTAAAACACAAACATATTAAACTTGTTTCTAAATAAATTCACACTCTTTAACTTTCTGGGGTGTTTTCCATTTGGCCAATAATATCTATATTATAAAACTTGTAATACTTTCAAAACATCCAGTAATTTATAGTGAGATACTTGTAAATATATGTTTGATATTTCCAAGATGTTCCTGTATTTTTAAACAACTGAAAAGGATTATTTGTTACTATTAGAAAAGATCCATTTTCATTACTGATTCTCTTATTTATTATGAAATTATTTTTTTGTTTTCCAAAATAATTTATTGTTTTATTGGCATAAGAATGGGTTAAGTAATTAAAATAATATTATTAACCATTTGATATTTATTCTATGTCACTGTCATTGAGGTCTATTTTAAACAGGCTAACTTAGGGTGATTTACAGAAATTTGTCTTCTGCATAGCACCATGTCTATTCTGAACGAGGTTCAAGGACAACTAGTAAAGTTGGTCAAATACTATGTCTATATTTGGAAACACAATCGTCTGACCTAATTAACAACAAAAAATATATATGACAGCAGTTGTCTCTAAACATGTAACATATGTTTCACAGGCCTTAGAGCAATTCTGAGTTGAACAGGAAGTTCTAATAGGTAAAATATCTACAATTTTATTTTAAGAAAGGTATAAACTATATTCTTTATTCTTTTCCTTTTCCTCATTATCATATCTCCTTTCTCTTTTCCTTTGCTTAGAGTTGACAGGATGATCAGACCCTACAAGGTACTTTCTCTGATGTCCCTAAAGTTATGGATGCTAAGACAACAGGGCTGCACATTATTTTCAGGTTTCTAGACCTCTGTGGCATTTCTCTCCAGCTGACCATGTTCTCCTGAGGTTATATAAGCAAAACAAAAATAAAGAACAATTTAAAAAGACTAAGGTGGCAGTACTAAACACTGTTTAATTAATTTTGAAGTTTTTTTTTTTGTTTGTTTTTAACACTTTATAGAGATGTTATTCTATTATTGGTCCAGGTTAAGAAAAAAGTGACAACTGACTGAATCTTGCCAAGTTACAAAACA